TGTTGCTGTTGCTGCTGCTGGTGCTGGTGCTGATGCTGCTGGTGCCGGTGCTGGTGCCCGGCAGTGGCGGTTGTTCTTCATCGTCGTCTTCTTCTTACGCGTCCTTCTTATTCTTCTCTTTCTTGGAGTTGCTGTCGTTGGTGTACTAAGGCACCACTGACACTTTCAACTTCAGCGTCCTAGCAAACCGACAAAAATCACATGGCACAGACAATCCCCAATGTACGCTGGCCGACTGCGGCCGGCATCACAGCTCATCAAAACTAAGCACTACCTCAGACGCTGCGTTCAGCGCAGCACGTTGTTGCAGAGTTGGGGGGAAAGCCTCTGATGCTGAGACTGAAGGATGCCACCCCAAGCACCACCTGCAACAACAACGAGTTGCCTGCATGCTCCCTAGTGCAGCAAAGAGTTTTGGGGTGGCCTCCCTGGACCTTCGGAGGCATCCACTTCTTTGCATCCTCCCGCGTGTCCAGTCGCCTTCTCTCATGAAAAGCATGACAGGCCACACGAGCCCCGTCAAACTCGCAACGTCGGAGCACACCAGCACATTAGATTCTTTCAGCCTGAGATGGCTGAGCGGTCGAAGATGCCCTTGCTGAGGAAGTTTTCGGCGAACAGGTTTCCAGTGGGCAGCTTGCCTTTCACTTTGCTACACTCTGCAGAACAGCCGAACAGCCCTGCGGGTGTCGGAAACAAGCTGTTGCCTCTGTGCAGCGGGATGACCCGGGCCGTCGATCAATGGTGACAGCAGCGACTCCTCTCCTACAGTACGAATCGCTCAAAACCCTCCAGCGATTTTCCCACGCCGATCCAACACAAGCTCCAACCAAGATCGCCTTCTGTGAAAGCAATGCAGATCTACCGGAGTGCAGGATCAAAACACGGAGCGATCTCTTGATCTCTGTCCTCGTCTGGCAGAGCGCACTCGCGGCAAAGCAGGTGCACTGGAGCTGCTCTTTAGCCTCTCATATCTTTCTGGTGTTCAAGACAGCAGAGAAGTCTATCGTGCGTGCACCAGCCGAGCAATACCGCATCCACAGCAAGCGATCCTGACAAAAAGACTGACATCTGGGATTGGAGATTCCTTTGCTACTGCATCCCAGTCACTACCACACCTTGTAGGTTTGGGGTACCTAGCTAGAGGCCTTGAGGGCGTTGGGCCGAGTCCAAGGGTTCTTCGAATTGACTCCCACTGCCCAGCAGCACCTGGCAGAACTAGTGGCTCCGGCACTCCACACTGGGTACCTCGCTGGTCAGAGCACATCTTCAAGGTCTCGGCTACCGCTTACAAAATGCACACATGTATGTGCAACGCCCTATGTTTGTCAGGATTCGGTGAGTAGATAAGTTTTATGCATGTATGTATCCATGCATGCATGTCCATACACACACGAGCAAACGAACAAACAAACAAGCAAACAAGCAAACAAACAAACAGACAACAACATCCAGCAGAAACAAACAAACAAACAAACAAACAAACAAACAAACAAACAGACACACAAACAAACAAACAAACAAAAACATACAAACATACATGCGTACATGCATACACACATACAGAGTGATGGTTTTGTCATGCGCCATGGCTCAACACATGGAACGGCGTTATCAAGCACTTGCGACAGTTTTCTCGAGAACAGGTCGGGACTAATGGCGCAATGAAAACTCAAGATTTATTGAAAAAGACTGCTCCCAATTTAGTCATACATTGATTCAGTCATTCATTCTTTCTTTCATTCATACATGCATACATGCATACATACACATGAGTCACATGACATGAACATATGCATACGCATGTGCATACACCTACACGTACAGGTATATGTACACGCACACATAGACATACATATACCTACACATGCATACACATACATGCGCATACATACACACGCATATGTACATAAAGGCGACCAGACGCCTCAGCGAATTGCAATGTTCAGGGCCCCGACTACAAATGCGACCGCATTGTTTGCTTAATCCCTCGGAATGAGCGACTACAAGACTGAGACTCGCACGATAAACCCTAAGTGTTTTCGAAAGATGCGAAGCACAAACTCACGCCCAACCGGGTCTTGGGATCTTCGAAACAGACGGCAGCAGTTCGATAGCGCAAGATGCTCGGATGCCCTTCCTTCGCAAGAAGTTCCTGCTGTCAAAACGCTGTGCAAGGACGATAGGATCTTCTGAAGCTCTCCAGTACCTCTTCGAAAATGCTTTCAAGTCATTGAGATCACGTGGTTGTAGGGGCTCTAATGTTCCCTCAAGCGAGCCGTTCACAGCAGATGTGGCCATCAATCGATTCTTGACACTCGTTTTCATTGGAATACAGAAGACTTGTTTTTTGACCTGGCCTGTGAGGAAGTTGGAGCTCACTGGGACTTGGGTAGTCTGGCTCCGGCTCCTTAGGCCACTTGCCGCAGGGTTGTTTTTTCAAGGCAGTGAAGAGCTTGAGCTTAAGCCCCCAACTCTTCTTCGCGCCTGAGCCGGTGACGCGACCTGCTCAGAAAGCAGTCTTCCAAAAATCTGCGAGCATGTGCATGCACTTGAGCTCTTGCGACTGTTGCTAGCCTCAACTTCTCTCCTCTTTGAGGCTCCCCGGTTGTCGTGGAATTCTGCCTGAACCCATGAAAGCGGATGTGCGGGAATCTCCCTTTCCCTCCCCGGAGCCTCTGCCGACTCTTCTGCCTCCTCTTCGTCTTCCGCCCCGGCCTCGTAGACCTGCTAACATCCATCCTGCGATCCTGAAAAGACCGCCCATGGGGAAGGCCTGGGTGAGGAGGCCATCGAAGCTCAGCATAGCTGGGTCCGAGGCCAAGCTGATGACAGCTACGGGATTCTGTGCGGGCCGGGACTGTACATAGCTGCCGATTGAATGACTCGCTGCTAGCAACCTGCTGCCACCAAATTGCGTTTCTTCAGCTGTACGAGCAAGGTAGTCTTGAGACATGCGGTTGACATGCGTACACACTTCTGTTTGGTATGCATACGTGCGCATGTCCTGTCTGAGCCGGGCACAAGACAGCTCAGCACAGTGACCATGCGAGCTTCAGTCAAGATTACGGATGATACGGCCTCGTCACGGAGAGACATAGTTTTCTGTATGGATTGTATCATGGCCCGTCGAATGACGGTCCATGAGTAGGCACATACCCATGCGGGTTCACTGTTGATACCAGCAGTAGCTGCTGTGCCAAGACGAACCCCCTACTTGTGGCAGCCTGCTGGTAGTTGTTCGTCAGTGCCACCGAATAGAACTCGCCGATGGAGTCATCTCCCTGCAGAAAGACTTATTGCTAACGTCCGAAAGATTGCTGCAGTCGACCAAGTCGTGGCCTTAAGTATGCATGACGGATACTTCCAGGTCACGGCCGAGCCAGTTTCCACCTGAAAAGTCTGTCTGCAGCTTCCTCCAGTGTGCGATGTTCAACTATCCGCCTGTGTCCATGAGATCTTGGATTTCTTGCCCTCGCACATGCCACGCTTTGTGACCTGATGGCTCACAGAGCTACAGAGCTGCAGCTGCGATGGCCGTTCTGCTCTCTGTAGTGCCGCAGGGGTACCTTGCTCATGCGGGCTGTTTCACAGCATGCAGACATGATTTCCCTACAGATGCAGCTGCTGTCGCCAGGTTCGTGGTAGCACAATATCTGCTCCACCAGCAGGACCCAGACCAGGTTCAGAATGCCGCCTTTGCCATTCTTGTCTCCAGCATACCTCTGACCCCACACGGCGAGGCCGGTCATTCAATGTTTGGACTCGCAGAATCCTGACAAAGAAGCCGGGCTCCCCGACCAGTTCTGCACCGTGGAGTATCTGGGCAGGCGACTTTGCGTGACTCGAGGAGTGTTAGCTGTTAGCTGACATAAGGCCGAGCATGTCGGTAAGATGAGATCTCGACTTGATCTCTGCTGACTCAGCAGCATGCAGCTCAACTACAGCTGCCTCGAAGGAAAGGCAACGACGATCTGAAGCTAGCACCGTTTGATGCTTTCAGGATTCGGCTTCAGTAATTAAGTATAGTCCTGAGATCCATGCATGCAGCTGCTTCGAGTCAAACATGGGGGCCTGACTCCAAGCAAGCACTCCAGCGCAAGCATTGGCATGCGCACACATACAACCACAAAAACATAAAACAAACGTGCACACACACACACACGCACACACGCACGCACACACGTACCACGAATACACACAAACAGAGAGAGAGATACATGCATGCATGGCTGCATACATGAAGGCATACATAAATACCTACTACGTACATACACAAAACATACATGCATCTGTGCATAAGACATACGTGTATACATATGCATGTATATATGAATGTATGCATGTATACGTTATGGAGCATGTAACTAGGTATGTATGCATGCATGCCTGTATGCGTGCGTGTGCGTGTGTATACATGTAGTCTCTGGTTTCTACCAGCTTGCAACGGGATGAAGAAATCGAGTGATTGCAAAAATGTGCATTGTCAGTCTAGGACAGACATATCCAACAGATAGATACGTAGGTACATACACTGGTTCATACAAGTATACCCACATTGATACATACATGTGTGAAGACATCAGCACACATGAACGGATGCATGTGACGCCGAGAGGCGAAGAACAAACACACACACACACACACACAACATATGTGCGCAAGCGAACTCAACAAACATCTTTGCGTTTGTGTGTTCACATGTGTCGGTATATCTGTGTGTTTATGTGTCTGTCTGCTTTCTTCTGCCAACTCACTCTCTACCACAGCTATCCACTGGCTTTGCTTTCCAAGACATGTTCAGGATTTCTCCAACACTCCTGGCTGAGGGGTAAATCCTGCACATGCTGCCACCCAGCCCCGTTTCTGCGTGGGCCACGCGATCTATGTAAGGCGCGTGCGGTGCATCCCTCCAGGTATGAGACATAGCTGCTCTCGTCTGCGATGAGCAAGGTGCGCTCAAACTGTCCAGACTCCTGTGGGGCGTGGAAAGCCCTCCGTGCGCGTAGGGTGCAAGGCAACCACAGGCCTTGTTGTTGATGCGGAAGTATGTTGAGATCTCCATAGGACATGTAGTGCCCTTCGGGATGTAGCAGAAGGAGCCATCGCTGAAGACGGCACTGCAAGCAGCTCGGTTCACTTGGTGTGTGATTGCATGTAGCGAGACTTTTCAGACTTCCAAACCCAACCCCTGAAGCTGTGAAAGTTGCTGGCCTGTTGAGAGCAGCAAAATAGTTGTCAGCCACTGGGACCACGGATCCCAGGTACTTCTTGACAAGTTCTGGATGCTCCTTCAAACTCACTCGAGGCTAGGGCAGCTCCGGATGCTTGCCGCTGCCTTGATGGCTTCGTTGATAGAGCAGAAGATCACACCTGCCTGTCACTCAGCGCATTGCACCCATGAGAGGGTTGATATGGCATGTGGTGCCTCTTCCAGCTCTTTCTGGAAGGTGGTCCCGATGCTCTCGCTGTCGAACACAGCATCCACCGCGACGTTGGTCAGGCGCTGCATCAGTTGCATGCTGAAGGAGTGCATGCTGCGAGCCGCTCCAAACCATGCGGTGAAAAGTCCACGCCTTCTGCTCAGTCAGTGGGATTCCGAGCTTCTCGAAGGTGTCAAGCAACTCAGGATCAACCTGTGAACCGGCTGCATGTTTCGCAGGAGAGACGAGAAGGTGTCCAGCGCATACCTCGTCGAGGCTCTGCTTCTTCTTCTTCGTTTTGGGCCTGGAGTAGTACACTATGTCCTCCCAGCGGCATTTCAGCATGCGCACACACACATACACAAACGAGACAAGGGGGGCGAGGGGTGACAGCATGCACGCAGAGGCATCCCCATGCTGTGTCTCTGCAAAGCTTCCGGGGCTGTGCCCTGCCATGACCATGTAGATGAAGCATGCGAGCCACCAAGGCAGAACAGGTCCTGAAAATCGATTTCTTCCATCTGAAGCTGTGCCCACTCTGGCATCTTCATCTGCTTCCATTTCCTGTCGGCCGAGCCCCACTCGTCCATGTGGAAACATTTGTTTTGGATAACTCACTCCGCTTTGGGAGCCGGCTGTGCTGCTAGCTTGTTGGCTAGCACTGGAGGGCTTACTTAGCAGCGTTCGGGTCCTGAAAGCATTCAAACGAAATTCCAGCATCCACTCGGGCTCTTCTTTGATTTCCCAGATCTTTCGGACGATGTCCTGCAAAGAAGTTCTGCAGATAACAGGAAACTGCTATGGCGGCACAGGGCCTCGTTGAGGCCCTTAGGCAAAGATTCGGACTCGATGTCCGTGTAGAAGCCAGCTGAGTACTCCTGAGGAACACATCTGCAAACGCGTGCAATCGCCGAACATCGTCCCCGATGCCTGGTCCAGCACCTCTCCGAGCTCGGCATTTTGCCCATCTCGCAGGGCCACGGCCTGGGCACGGAGACTCCCAAGAAAAGCATCGACAAGATGTCTTGGGCGCCTCCTCTTGCTTCTGCTTCAGTTCCACAGAGCCGGCCTGGCATTCCGGGATCCGTCCATCCGATCATCCGATCAGAGCGCGTGTCAGATGCCAGATAGCAAATTTGGGCACCTTCGGTCGGTCGGAACAGCTGTAAAGAACTCCTTTAAGGAGTTGCCAGTCAGCCAGAATCCCTACATTAGCTCGCTGCTTCAAGGCTGCGCCGTCTTATGTACATTTATTCAGATTTAGGAGCTGACAGACATGTCGCTTCCCCAACCATGTCAGGCTCGAAAGCTCTGTCGCTCGCGGTCTTCAGGCCCATGTCACAAGCCGTGGCTAGTAGGAAGCTTTGGGACAACGTGTGCATACTGACCAGCCGGCACCGTTGCAGACATTACCTCAGGCAAGCATAATCAACTGCTGGTGGCAATGCTGAGCGTAGCAGATGCTGCAGAGCTGCACCGCAAGGCTGCTGCGCCAAAGCACTCTTTGCAGGTCAAGGGGGCGCCCCAGCAGTTCTGTCAGCTCAGTATAGCTCAGCATAACGCTCGCGCTTACACACGGCTATCGGCGGCTCCTGGCATCGTCGTCCCTTGACGGTACTCAAAACGGCCCCGTCTTGGGCTCTTCTGCTTCTCGGCCCGCCGATGCCCTGCACGGCTTGCGGGAGTTGCTTGATGCGCGTGCTGGTGTACGACATGGCCAACGAAGACATGTCAGCAAGTGATGGTACGGTTCCACAACCACTAACACGCCTTGGAAAGTCAGAACTAGTAACTAGTCAAATTATTCATCCTGAATCAATGCTCGCTTTTGCATCCCATGGGTATCCTCCAAGTTGTCGTGCAGTGTCCCACGCCCACGGCACACGGGACATGGCAATGCCGGCCTGAGGGGACTTGAGACAGCCGCAATCATCTCTATGAGTCACGTGCTCTGGGGTGACAGCATGCCATCGCATGTGCTGCAAACAAGGACACCATGCCCTCCGCAGCCATCACAGCTCCTCCGAAAAAGTTCGCAAAGAAACTCACTTGGCTCTCCTGCTTCATCACGCTGCCACTCCTGCGCCCATAGCCGTCACAGAACCGGCAATCGCTGATGGGCACGTCCTCCAGGACGCGCCGCGATGCAAATGCAATGTCGGCTTCCCAGCCGGGCTGTGCCTGGGCCTGGGGCGGCCCAGGAGCCAAGCTTGGCCTTTCGGGCTCCACGGGCCGGCCAGGGAGTTGTGACCCTCGCAGAGGCAGCAATAAACCAAACTTCAATCCAACTCCGACCCCCAAGGCCCAATGCCCTGAAGCCTGGCGGGTAGAGCTCCAGTGCCAACTTTGCACTTGCACCCTCGATCCTGACACGACACAAAGATTTCGCGCATGGTTCTCGCGTCGTGGAGAGGAGTGCTGCAAAGAGGCAGACCAAGAGCAACACCGCTGAATGCCGGCCTGCCCAGGCAGGTGAGATGAGTCTCAGCAACAAGCAGACGGTCCGTCGGACCTGTAGAGTTGCTGCGGTTGGAAGAACCGTCGCATGGTTCCTGTGAGGTCCAACTCTGCAGTCACCGCAACGACCTCGTCGTGTCGTAGGAAGACGCTACCGCTACAGTGCACTGGGAATCTCACGAATCATCCCTGCCTCTTGACCCAGCAGAATGCCAACCACCACGGAATCCTGGAGCTGGCCCGAAACATGCCGGGTCAGGCCTGGCTCGAAGCAAACACCCGCCTGGCCGTCCTTGAGCTTTACCCTCACCTCACCTCAACAATGACTTAAGTTGAGAAGCGTTCACACGGCTGCTGAGGCACAAGCCAGGGCGGTCCCAGACTGCCTCACATCTTCAAGACACTTAAAACCACTGCAGCCCCTTGATCTGTAGACCCTTTCTCACCTCCCAGTGGCCGCCCGAAAGCTCCGCAAAGATGCGGGGCTCGGCACAGCGATGCCTCAAACAGGGAAATCTACAGTGACTGCGAGTAGCTCGAAACAGGGGCTCTTGCAGGCCTGCCAGGAGGCCGGCTTTGTGGTTCCGGAAGGATCGCCGCAGAGGCCTGGGCTCTCTGAGGGGTTCTGCGATACGACAGTCGGATGGGGTACCAGCGCTCTCCGAGGCGTTTGCTCCGCTGCGGTCGATCATGTCCTTGCCCTCCAGGAAGTAGCCCAGCCCTTTGCTGCCGGGAACATTCCGCTCTTCCTTGCGTACCGGAAGGCCCTCGATGGAGAGAACCTTGAGGATCACATGTGTCGGTAGCCCTGGGAATGACTCCGGTGGGGGCTCACATGCCACCGCCAGTACATCCTGCGGCACTTGTCCGGGATGCTGAAGATACAGACCATCACCGTCAGAGTCAGAGTCATGGAGCAGTCCGGCAGTGCTTATTGTCGGGAAGAAGCTGTTTGCGGCCTTTGCTGTGGGCGCATCCCGGATGGCCGGGCTATCATCTGAGGAATCTCGAGATTCGTTCTGCGGGGCCGGCTCCTCTTCCGGTGGGGGCAGATCCAAGAAGCTGAAGATGCCTGGGCCAGCCATTAGCCAGGGCCGCCAGGGCAGGGCCCGAAAAGACCTGCGCCGGTGGGACCATCACGAGCCGCGAGCCGACGCGGTTTCAGGTGCTCCAACTGTACGCTCCTAGGTGTAGTAAGTGTAGTATGGAGGTCTAGCCTGAGATGTGGTGAAATCTTTCTCACGTTCCTGTCTACGACCAACGGCTCGAGCCAAGGGCGCCTGCGGACTCCCGCACCCCCTCACTCGCTGTCGGTTCATGCGGTGCCAGCTCGGTCCCTGTGGAATCGTTACATTGACATATCGTTACACTTCGGTGGTGCTGCTTCACTGGGCTTGGTGGTTCAACGTTGGGTCCAGAAGGCTTCACCTCGCTCGAGGGCTTGGGAACAGGTAGATCAGGCACATCTGCCAAACCCCCAGCATGCCTGACGCACGACCTTCTGTCCTTGGCGCTTTCCTTCCCGCCGCTGCCTGTCGTGCCCGGCCCCGGTGTCAGCAGGAGGTGGTGGAGCTCTGAGCTTTGCATCACTTGGACTGTGAACATCAAGAACTTTGTGAACAAACGCAGGTGACACGGCGGATATGTGAGATCCATCCAAACTCCAAGCATGACAGTTTGGCGACATTCCGCAGACTCACCGGGAAAGAAATTCGTCCGTGCGGTTGCGTCCGGGAGAGGCCGGAACCTTCTTAGACGGCACCCTCGTAGCCTCCAGCGACGGGAGCCGATGGCGAGCCCTGCCAAAGCTGCCGCAGATGCTTTGGTGGCGAAGTTGGCCTGCTGACCCAAAAACGAAAAAGGCGTAAAACACATCAACTGCGCGTTCCAATCGGCGAACTGACTTTCGGAATTGAGCCCTTGCCAAAAAAACAGCAGGAGAAAAGGCCGCGCCTGTGGGGCGGCGGCAATTGGGGCAGCTGTGCCCACGACCGCGGGCGGCGGTGCCGCTGCCCTGAAACATTGCATTTGGATTTGAGCACCGTCAACGATGTCATGAAGTTGGAGAGAAGTTGGTCTGGGTTGACCGAGTTCGGAGGACTAGCAAGTCGAGAGTGAAGGCTTTGGGATCCGGGACTACCTGAAAGTTTCTGAGGCAAGGAGAGCACTGCAGCCACTGACTCCCCTGCTTTGTGCAAGGAATCTGTTCTGCAGTGGCTTCCCACTGAACTATGATGTCCAAAGGCCAATCCTGGGATGGAACCTACATCATCTGCCTTTACTAGATTCTCTACTTATGCTGAGGCTCGAGCCACCGAGGTGCTCAAGCGATTGGAGGTGGTTTAGGCATCCGGTGGGTCGAAACCTCGCCAACCCTTTACCTTTGTTTGTGCAGTTGCCACTGATGATCCAGCAGGTTTAGGTGCAGTTTGCACTGTTGCAGCGCAGCTCCCATCGATGTTCCCCATGCCGTGAGGTCGATGCTGCTCGTCGAAGCCTAGATCCGTCTGCTGAAGCCCTGAGACCCTTACTGCTGAATGTAGTTTATCCGTTTCCTGACCAATGCGAGTTAGACACCTTGGCGGCTGCTCAATCGTCACGAATGCCAGATCTGCCATAGAGCCTGCCAGAAGATGATGGACTACATTGCAATAGCCTCCTGGTCAAGCGATGACAATGACCAGCCTGGCCTGTTATCTCTCTGAAGGAAGCTCCGAGGCACCACTCTCCAAATGCCAGCTTAAAGGGCCACTCGTGAGCCTAGCTGCTAGCCTGCCAGTCTAAGTGCAGCAATTGCCAGGACTTCCAAAATAATATCTGCGACACATGCCACAATCATGCTTGAGCCAGGTGATTCAACGAATCTGTGATCATTCCGTAGTCTTGCCCCGCGCAAGAGCCTTGAACTCTACGCGCTTCTTCTCTCTACTCTACTGTAGCAGCCTGATATGTCATGACAATACAACAGAGTAAGTTGTCAACAAGACTCACAACACTCTGGCGCTCGTATTTGCAGACTGGCGATTGCTCCTGCCAGACCTTACAGTCGCTCATGTGCCATTGGGCATCTGGTGCTGAAAAGGGAACCCGCGACATGTTTTTGCACCTGCCGATGTCAAGGACCTGAGCGCATCCGAATACCTAACTACCGATATCGAGATGACCATGGACCTCATGTGTTTTCGATATGACGAAGCCGCTTCGCCGACTTCCTGTGCAGGCGGTCGCAGCGAAAAGACACACGATAACGTCGCAAGTGCCACACAGCAGGACGCAAGTGAAACACCTCTTGGCCCTGCCTGTTCAAATATTGAGCATAATCGTCTTTGGACGTGTACTTCGCCTTGAGCTTGTCGTCGCTGTCGAACTCAGCCAGCTTCCTCCGTAAGCACAGCGACACATGCCAGCAGAAAAGAGGACTTGCGACCTTGCCAAAAGCTCCCAGACACCCGATCAAAAGAGCTGAGGGTCTTGGCTGCCCACTTGTTCAGCTCAGCCTCGAACTTTTCCAAGTCACTCCTCGTTTTCCCGTTTATAGAAACCAGCTCCACATCAAAGACGAGATCTGCGTTCGGAGGGATCTTGCCTAAGATGGCTATGCAGTGTGACATCGACACACCTACTTGCATTCCTCAGTCAACGCTGGCCACGTCTTTGCTTGTTTAGCTTCCACGTTTCATGTGTTCAATGTCTTCGATGAGTGAATGAAGTCGGTTCCGGCCCACCTAGACCCAGAGCGAATGGCCAAGCATGGCAAGAAGATGGGACGAAGTGTGACGCAGCTGAGATTCTTTCGATGTCGGTTGCAAACAGGCTGTTAGTGTACTGAAAAGCTGCTTCCCCTTTCGTGACAAGGGCACCTGCGAGAAGGAACGCAAGAGCCGACGCTCATTTTCCCGGCTGAAACGTTGAAGTCATCGTTCTTTGCAGATCGTTCCAGAAATCGTCAACCTTTGACTCCAGCGTGTTTGGGTTGTGCATGTGTCTGCGCCGGGGCTCCGTGCCCAAAATCCGCCTGTTGCGTCGAAGTGGCAAGGCTACAGCTGCCTGGAGATGCCTGGAGATGCCTGGATACCTGGGGCCTTCGGACACGCCCCGGCCAAACACAAGTACTGGTGCCAGCAACACGAGGTCAACAGCAGAAGCCGCGGCTCGAGCTCGGACAAGGCACTGCCATCTCCATAACCGGATTCGCCATATGCAAAGTCCGAGCCTCGGCAGCAACGGTGGGAGGCATTGCGTCTTCAGAGGAGTTCGCGAGCTTCATCGGGCCCGGGGTCCCTGCTGATACGCAGCGTCGCTTTTTCCCCAAGCGACAGCTGCAGCATGCCTTCCTCCCAGCCTCGGATCACCTGACGGGAGCACAGGGTCGAAGGAAGCAGTAAGGTCGTCCCTGCGCCTGAGCAGGTTCTGTACCCAAAGTGAAGGAGAAGGGCTTTCCCCGATCACGAGAAGAGTCAAACTTTCGTCCGTCAGTGGCCTAGGCAGGCCGTGCAAACTCTTGCATGGCATGACATGAAAGCGACTGATACAGCACTGTCAAGCACAACCAGTGTCTGGGTGGCTGGCCAATGTCCCAGTATAATGGACCTGAAGTCTGCGTTCAATGCTTCCCCAGCACTCCCGTTGCTTTTTCCCGGGCTCCCACTTCTAGGCGATTTCCCTTCTGTGGGAAGGTCTTGCCGGTGCCGGCTTGACAAGTCTCCACCTGCTCAAACGCCACGGCCATGTTCATGTCTGCCACCTACGTCTGATGCAAATACAGCTGCCGGGACCTCCACACCCATGGTGGCACGGCAAGGCCATGGGCTGGAGTGATCCGGCTATCAAAGTCTGACACTCTGTGGGGCCTGTGCATGCTGAACACAGCGACAGGGAAAGTAACGACTCGCGTTCTTGAACACTTGTGTTGAGCAGATGCGGTCAGTTCGCAGATGGGTTCGTGCACCAAGTCTGACAGCTTCGACTCATCACTTGATCAGAATTTGATCCAGCTTGCGCTCCGACAACGGGTTGACCAAGCATTCTCAACCCTACGACCTCCCCCCACGTAGCTGTGCAGATTTTTGTCGTTCGTTTTGACGGTGTTGGCGGTCGCTGGGAGTGTTTTTACCCCTCTGGACATAAAAATTTGGAATGTCGACTTCTGAAGCCGCACGAGCAACGGCTGCTAACTGCGGAGGATGTCTGCAAGCTCCTCAGAGTCTCCTGCGGAGATCAGGGGAATGTGCTTTGAAGATCCGCCCATTCAGGAATTCAGGGCCAATGGATTCGAGCGTGGTGCCTTGGGCAGCTTCGCGTGGGTGCAGCGCCTCGAACCTGGTCTGTCACTCGGCTTCTGATGAAACCCATACCTGAAGATTGGCTGCTTTTAAGTACGCAGCCCGGCGCTGGGCTGTGGCTCCCAGAGATTTCGGGGGATGCCCGCGAGCACTTCCCGGAAGTAGCTGGCATGCTGACGCACGCCGTACCTCAGCTCAGACAAATACGAGAAACAGATGCTGCAATGCTCCAGTCACTACAGTGTTGCAGTCACCGGTGACCACTCATGCCATACTGCACTTAACCACGGCGGTACTTAGTTACAGCTGCAATGTAAGCTTCACTTGCACTACCAGGACCAGCAGTCTCCGTTCCTGAAAGCCAGGAGACTCCACGAGCGAGGAGAGAAGGTTCACCTGCAAGGCCCTAATTGCTTAATTCGTGCCGACTTCTGCAAACTCCAACCTCTGCAACCTCTGCTCCTCAGCCACGACGGGCCAAGGAAAAACAACACGGAGTTTGGCAATAGATTGCATGGACTTGCATGGTCCGGGCTCAAACCCTTGCCAAACATCCCATCCTTGGGCGATCGTTCCTCTACTCGTCGATCCTGTTGGGTGGAGACCCAAGCTTCATGTGCGGCAGCAATGTTACCGTGATATGCGCGGACGTCTGCCCACGTCGGCACAAATCGGACTTCGCCTACGTTGAGGCGCGCAGCTGCGGCCTAAGCCCTAAACCCTAATAAACCCTAAACCCACCCTGGATTCGCAGCCGTTCCTCGTCTGTCCGTCCTGGGCCCGCCGTCGCCCCACACTCGAATGCTTCTGCTGTCCGATGGCACGTCTCGCAGCAGATTGGAATCTTTGCTCTCCTACCTGTAGATCCGAAAGGTTCCTTGGTGGCCTCTTGGAAAGTCCCTCATTCTTCCAACAGCTTTCGGATAAGTGTTTTTTGGTTTTCGAGATCCGAGGCGAACCGAGCATCGCACCTTCAAGGGTCGGCGGGGGGTGTTTTCCCGGGTCTGGCACGGATTGGTGTTCTTTGGCAGGTCTGGCGGCCTTTCTTGGCTCCACAGTCTTGTGAAATACATGAATTTCTGGTGGTCCGCAGGAAAGATTTGACAAATATACAGCATTTCTCAACAGGAAAGTATAGCCATCCTTTGTGCGTTGGCACCGGGAAGGAGAAGGCAAAAGGGACACTCGCCAGGACCCATCTTTCTGGGCTTAGTCAACTATTCAGGGTTCGGAGCCTTATGAGCTCCAGGGTCTGGAAAGGTAGTTCGCAACTACCCCCTGCACTGCAGCTTCTGCAAACTTTCTTTCGAAGGGTAGGCCTGGGCGCTGGTGTAGGAAATCAAAGACCGCGGGTTCTGCCGGACCATTGTGAACTGCGGGAAGTTGGCCTCGGACGGGCATGCGAAGTGTCGGCTTGGCATCGAACAGCGGATGGATTTCGTCGAAGCTGCAAACATACCCTCTTTCCCTGCAGCGATCTCCTGGTAATGACTCACTCCAGCAGCTGACAGAACAGCTGGACATGGATGGGGCAGAATCACTATGACGATGAAGGGCTTTTGCCAGCCTTCTGCGTATCCGCAGGCAGCTGGTTCTCGAAGAGTTTGCTCTTGTCCAAGTGATAGACGAGTAGCTTCAGCTTCCAGCCTCAAGGCGAGAACGCCAGGAAGGAAACATTCCGAGAGCTGTGCCGCAGCAGGGCCTCCTTCAATGCCCCACCTGAGATGATAGCTACGCAGGCTATGCACGTAGGCATGAGAACATACTGTGCCAGTGTGGATGGAGACCTACAACAGAATAGCCAGGCACGGCACCACTGTGAGACATGCAGTCACTGCGGGCAACACAATACCCCATTCCCCAATCCAGCATGAGCTCGTATCAGGAATCTTAAGTTGGATAGCTGAAGAGGCCCGGCGATGTCCATTTCGATGTTACCCCATGAAACAATTCGTATACATCGCAAATTATACACGCGATGTCGGAAGGCACAAGAATTTGTCAGTCTGGCTTTCGTATGGCTTTCGTAGCCGTAGTTGGACAGCTCTTGGAATTGCTCTCCACCTGAGTGTCACATGCTGATTTTCACCCAAAAAAAAGCAGTGTGTGGCATTGTCACTAGCTTCGCAAGCTGCTTCAGCATCACGAGCTTTGTTGCTGTTGGTAAGACTGAGCACCCACATCCCTAGTGTGACTCTATGCTGGTCCCCTGGTCGCACTGTCCCGCGAAACGTGATCTTCACCTGAACAAATCTGTGCCACGAACAGCTGTTTGGCGACCGACATCCGAAGCGACGCGGCGTTGGCGCAAGCCTGAGCCACAGCCCTCAAATGACCTGCAAATAGGGATCAATATCGAAGGGCGATCTTGCAAACCAGACGGGTGCACACTGGTGCCGACGTTACGACGCGGAAGCTTTCTATTTTGCGTATCTTGCAACTCGACTCGACTCAACGCAAGCCGGACACGATCTGTGCGTGACTTTCAATTCGAGAATGGCTGTCTGCTTTCAATTCAACTGCCACATCATGAATCACGAAACTGGCAGAAGGAAAGCCTCAAAGCCAAAACTCCCGGAGCCTACAGCTCAAGCACAGAGGCCCGAGGTCCGACGTACAGTGGCAAAGTGTTCCGAAGGTCCTGGCTTCAATGACTTTCCTGCTCCGTTTGTGTCCGAAGTGGCCCTGGCAACCTAACTTGCCGACAGAACGACACAGCCCTCTCTGTCACCCTGGACCGGCAGATAGGCAGGCGAGCAGTCTTTCAGAATCATTATATGCCCGAAGGCGAAACGGCAGCCGACGAACGCCCGGGGCTATTGTGGCGGCCCAAGGTGCAAATGCAACGCTGGGACGCTGACACCAGCTGTTCAGCATCCATTCATCGCAGCTGTGGTCTCAGGCCCAGACCAGCTGTTCTTGAGCACCTCCAACTCTCTCAGGCTCACGGCCGGTCGGCCGGCGCGCCTCATAGACTCGCAGTTCAGCCCTCCCGTTCGCAGCAGCAAATGCACAAGTAGGCACCTATGCGTTTGAAGGTCACAGAGGATTGGCTGCAGGTCTTTGAACCGGAACACCTGGCCAGAGCATCTGTAGAGCTCGTTGGGTGTTGAGAGGTGCCGCGGGTAGCGGCCATGCCTGGTTATGCATCAGAAACGACCCGTCGACATGGGCTCCGAGTCCAAATTTGTCCACGAAGTACCACGCAGCCTGAGGATCTACATGGCGCTAGGGCGGATCTCGGACGGACCACGTGCTGCTGAGTTGCTGCTCCTCCGAGTTCCCCTGCACCCCTGCCAGTCATAATGCATGTAATCTAGGCCCTTGCAAGTTCAAACCTCCGAGACTCCTGCACTGGGGTGTAAGCACAGAAGTCCTGAGGGAGCCAGAGCCAACAAAGAGCTTACGAACAACTTCGAAGCGAGATCACGAAAGGAAAAAGAAAGAAAGCCCGCTCCGACTTCATGCCAATCTTCACATCGGTGTTCAAGAACATCACAATCCTAGGCACCTGTGCCAACATCTTTGCAAGATGTGTCAAACCTGCGATGAGAAGGTTTCCGGGCCTTCCGCTGCAGTGCCGGCAGCAGCCCAGAGTTGTCCATGTGGCCTCCATCGCCGATCTTGAACTTCGCAGCTGCCTCCAACGTGAATGGGAGGCTGGGCTTCTTCAGACGTGTGCTTCCCTGCATTTCTCCGGCCTTGGGACCAGGAAACTTCTTGGAAGTTATCGGCCAAAGCGTTGCGACCGGTATCAAAGCCTCGCTCTCGCATCACTTTGCTCGCTTCGAGACCGGAGCTCCGGGCCTGCATTCTCTGCCCTCCCAACTTGTCCATGGCTTGCGAGGTGTAGGCCGAAAAGGCGGCGCTGCTCACCCCCACGGCCTCCCCGAAAAAATGAAGCATCCTTTGAACATGTCTATGAGAGCCCCCGCCCTCTGCCTTCGCCAAACTCAGGGGCTCCGAAGGCGACGGCATTCTCACGCCGTGTCCTAGGTGTGACCCAACGAGTTGTCCACGCCCTACAACGGGGCAATGGGGGGTTTGGGCCTCCAGATTGGTCCGAAAAGGGCGTGTCAGAACCGAATGCGAAGGTCTCCACCATGCCGCCTCCCACGACCTCAGCTCAAACACACTCGCCTAACTTCACAGAGAGACGGGAGCCAAGGTCTCGGCCAACTTGAGAGCAGGAATATCGGAGCTGGCGAGCCAGTTCTCGCCCTCTTCGTCAAACTGCAGCTGGCCTTCCCGTCCTGAGCTCTGAAAAAAACACGCTCAGACACACAGAGCAAGCTCCTGCCGCTTCTCCGGGCAGGTCGCCAGGATAGAAAGGGCTGCCGGAGAAGTCTGGAGACATCTGCAAAGACCTTCGCAGGCAGTGACGTGAGGGCCTAAGCCTACGCTCTTCCAAAGGCTCGATTTCAAGTCCGAGCGCACGGCACGACTGTATCATCATCGGATTCGTGTCCCAAGGGGGCGAGCAGAACTCCAAGCCTGGTTGGCTCTCAGGTTGCAGCGCGTAGCCGCTAGCCGCTAGGCCTCGCGTGGTGTACCACTTGCAGCCTAGTAGCATGACGAAGGCACGCGGCCGATCAGACGGCGGGACAATGAAGTCCTGATGCCGACGATTCTTTGCATCGATCGGACAAGGTGGGCACTGCCATGTGCTGCACATCCCGACATCCTCGCGCTGCAAGTGAGGATTCTTGCGAATGATGCGCTGGACGGTGCTGTCATCCGGAGCCATGTACCTCTGTCGAATGTCTCTAAACACGCTAGAGGACTGACAAAGCTTGGCAGTCGAAGCCTACGTGAGCAAAGGGGTACTTGCTCATGTTGCCCAGGCCAATGGGCTTCAAGAGGATCTGCCAAAACCCAGCAATGCCCGGGGCCCGGGATGCTTGCAGCAACCCACGCAACCCTTTGTTTGAAGCGGAGCCTCGTTGAATGCATCCACCCAAATCGAGTGCGGGTCGTCGTTGTTGAGAAATGCAGTCTTGAGCAGGTCTCAGCGGGCGGAGTTATGCTATTGATGATATCGGAAAGTCTGCGAGGCTGCAGCGGTAAATGTCGTGAGTCGCCCCGTCCTAATGTTCTGCTGAACATCTCTGACTGTGTGGGTTCATTGAAACTGAGACGAGGACGCCTATCAACCCTGGCCGCGTCGTCAGCTCCTCCAAACGTGAGGCTCTCAGAGCTCCTGGACCGGCCTGGCTCAGGTCGCTCCTCGAGGGAGAGCTCCGAGGGTCGCGTGGGGGATCCAAGGAGGTGGCCCTTGCTCATGTGCGAGAACCTGCCACGGGACGGGCCCGACGGGCGACAGTGCAGCACTGTGGCAGAAATCCAAGAAATTCTTGCCGCTTCGCCACATGAAAGGTCCCGAGGTCCATGTGCCACCAGACACCGAGACCAGAAGGTCCGTGTGGCCCAATAAGTCCAGGTACTCGAGGCCCCTCAGAGCACCCAGCGCAGCCACCATTGCCCTGGTGCCACCACCGCTCAGGCAGACGGCCGTCTGCAGATTCGCCTTTCATCGCGGAAAGATCAAGCATCAAGCTGTGACAACTGATCCCTGGCCCGGCCTGTCTGGGTGGGAACTCTTTCCTCTCGTCGTTGATTGGAACGATGTCTGCGAAAACATCTGGCTTTTTCTTGTGACACCTTCCATCATCGTCTGAACAATAACCTTGGTTCATCTCTCCGCTGTGCGCAGCACTGTTTGCCTTACGGGACTTTGTAAAACCTGCCTCTGCCAGTTCAGACAGAGCAGGCACTAGGAAACCTGAAGACCCGAAACCAAAAAAATGAGCGTCTCAAATGCTTCCTCTTCGTTCTACCGAAACCGTTTTGGAAGACTCCAAGAAACCCGGCTGACACATGCACTCACCACTGACGCATCGAGTAGGGCCTCGATACTTCCAGCAGTATCCAAACCAGCTGCAGGTGCCACCGGTGCGTTGCGGACACTGCAGAAAGTTGTGGGAATGATCGTTGGGTACACAGTTGCCCCCGACAGCACAGTAGCCAGGTTGACATCGACAATGCCCCTCAACACACTGAGTTGGACCTCGAGATGAGCTGCAGCTTAAGTATTTGCAACTGCCTCCCGTGTGGGTGTCGCAAAAGCTCGTGCTGGAGTTCACCACGGTCATGGATTTCACAGACATCTCTTCCGACGAATGTGCAGCCGATACTGTTTTCGAGTCTTCCTCCATTGCCAGCTCGTGGGCATGGGCAGGAGAGTTTTCTTGGACTCGACGGGCGCGTCGTTGCAGCCAGGATGCAGAACATTCGATGGCGTTGCTCTTGTGGCACGCATCGTCAAAATCGAGAATATCCTGCCCCACGATGTGCGCAAAGCACAGAACAATGATAGTCCAGCGGCACATGTTGCAGGAGAGAACGAACAAAGCTAAGCTGGCTGTGGTCAGTTGTAGACAGGCCCAATCTTTTTGCAACTCGTGGTTCAACTGTATCTCACACGTTTAGCAAGAGGAAACCAGACATCCAAGTTTGTCTTGGTGGTCTTTCAAAATTCAGCACGGTTGGTGTCCTCAAGCCTGGATCGCATTTTTTTCGCTTACTAGAAAAAGCCTTTGCCATAATGCTTGCTCCGATGTTTCCTCAAACATGCAGCCAGCATGTGTACAGTCAAGCGCTTTTGGCGTGAGTTGAGCTGCAAAGCCGAAGGAGGTGCACAGGCGCTTGTCAACCGCGCAAGCCACACCGATAGAAATCGAGCAGTCGGTCCAAACACTCTGCAAGCGCACCTTTTTGGAATGTCACGATCAGCGTTTGTCGCTGGAATAACCTGGGCCGAGATCTGCGCAAGAAGAACCAAGAAAACTCTGGGACGAAACAGAGGTAGTTGCTAGCATGGAAAAGCTGGCATCTAGCGCTCTGCGGCAAGCCATGGACATGTCAGCCGCGCAAGGCCCAAATCTCACCCTGAGCCATCCAGTACTCAGAGTGCGTTCTGAGAGGCGCAGGTTTGAGGGGGTGCCAACTCTGAACTCTGGCTCCGCCGGTGAGCGAGCAAACTTTGGAGCCATCAGCTGTTTTCGCCAAGCAAGGCCCGGTGCCGCTGAAGAGAGCCGGCCGGAGAGCAAGAAGCAAGCTTTGCACGTTCCTGGTAAGCTCCACGCGTTGCATCAGGAGCGAAAGAACCGCATGAACATGTCTTCGTTAGAACCTCGGGCCGGTGGAGCATTGCGCACTGGCATGGAGTCCATGAAGAAACGAGCTGGCACGACTTTTACTTTTGTGAACTACCAAGGTGTTGGCGGATCATGTACTCTCCAAACGCGGACAAAAGATTTACCTGGACACTGTACAAGGCGCGAACCCTGTTAACCCAGTCTGGCGATACAGCTGCCTGTAGACTAGCTGTTCTGACTGTCCTGCCTGCTCGTTCGTGTACGTCGTGAACTTCCCAGAATTCTGATTTGACCTAAGCTGCGCATTGAACTTGAATGAGTTTCTCTGGGGTTCCGAACGAGTTCAGGAAGGGACGTCTTGAAGTGCGGCCAGTGTGCAAACTTGCCCCCACCTCTGTCTTCCGTGCAAGCTGCAACACCCGAGGAAGGAGAAACCAAATGAACTCAGCTGGGGATGGGACTGCCCTTCTGCACCTCCTACAGGCAAGGAAATGCAATGATTGGGCCCCCAGCACTATGAGCAGTATCAGCCAGTGATGCCCTGTCCTGCAAAGTCTCCGGTGGCAGGTTCACGTCGAAGCGTTTGCAGCTGTTCAGATAAACAAAAATCACGGACCTGGGGCCGAAGGCACGGTGAACGACGCTGCAAGCTCCACTGCAGCCAAGCGACGCTTTCCAATTCCCTTGTATGCCCCACTTCTTGTTCTCCAGCACCTTTTTGAGGACAGCAAGGGGGGGGGGGGGGGGGCCCCCCNNGGGGGGGGGGGGGGGGGGTCCCACTTGGCCTGACCCATCCTGACCCTTAGTGCCTGCAGCTGCCGCTCCACCACCAACGCATCGCCAGATTTGCGCTTCTTCCTTAGCTTCCGGCGAGAGATGCAGCATGGGTCGTGGTGAAACGGTGCAGCGCGTCGAGTAGCTGGAACTCACACAGGAGGGGCTGCAGCTCGTTGCGATTGAAAACCTGCATGTGCAATCAAAGCCGAAGGGAGCTACAAACCACAATGCCTTGCCAGCCAAGAATCAAGCACCACGACATACTCGGACACACATGCAGTCGCGTGCTTTGGACACTTCAGCAAAGGGTCCGGCCTGGTTGTGAACCAAATACTCGCCTGGATTTTCAGCAATGTACCTGCAGCCGCTAGAGATACGAAGGTACGCGGACATCCCCTCTCCATCAGCAGCTGACGAGTCACGAGTCGGGAGACAAGGCATGCCTTCTTATGGTGATCGGTTCTCTACGTCTACTTCGACGACGACGACAACCACTACTACCACGACCACCACCACCGCCACCGCCGCCGCAACCTCCGCTACCAACTGCACAACACTACAACTACACCTCTAATTCCCAGACCTGAACACAAAGGTACATGAAGCAGTGACAATGATAATCAGCTACTGTACATAAGTATCCATAATCCTGATTATGACTTGCAACAATAACAACAACCATAATTGCAACACTATTTACTCACTCAGAAGCCCCAAATCCGAACGTTCCAAGGTGCCACTAATCGGCCGAATGGGTTCCGCGGAAAGTTCTGTTTTTTTGTTGGATTCTCGGCCCCTAGGCGTCTCAGCTCTTGGGTATTACGCCTGGCATGCACAGGGAGGGTCTGCAAGCTGGCTGGTTGCCGTGGCTGGTGCACCGGAGCTCTCGCTAGTGTGTGCAGCTGATTCTTTTGCCAAAACGGCGATGCTCGGTCGGAGTGCTCAGGAATGATCAAGACGGCACGCAGCTGCTAGCGTGCCTGTTCCCGAAACGGCTGAGGAGGGCACCCGAACTTGTCAAGCAAGTCATTCGATACCTGCGGGAAGGAGATGCTTTTTCATCCGCTGGTTCAATCAGGCTAAGGACGGTAGGCACACTTTGCCATGAAGCGCGAGCTGTGTGATGTCGAATAAGCTTCCACAGAAATCTATTTCCTTGTGGCAAGTGAGCATCTCTCTCCACACTGATGCCATCGTCCAACTGCCGTCGGAAGTCCTCCGAGAGCTCCACATTGGTGCTGTGAACGACAACAATTTTGCTTGCCCTTCGCTGCAGCAGCGCCATCCTTGGGGCAGGATCGCGCGCTCACACAAGCAAGGAACTCTACGCTTCCATTAGGTCGAGCGGCATGCCAGTGTTGTCTGTCTCAGCGCCATCCTCTGCGTTGGTATACGAGCACTGTACAGTACTATACCATCTGGGATGACGGGCGCTGCTCTGGGCTCGGAGAAAGGGCCCAAGGGCCGGGCACCCAACACGTGCTTCATGGCCGGCCTCCGCAGGCACAAAATCGCGGACTCAAAGAGAAGAGAAAACCCTAGCCCAGGCATTCCTCCGCTCTTTGAAGAGGGCGGATGTCACTGGCCAGTAGTCTCTGGTGGGAAGGTACTCTTGGGCCTCAGAAGCACTGCATGGTACTCGCAAAGTAAGAGCATGCACGTGCCGGAGGTGCGTGTTGCGCGAAGAGGTGCATCCAGCCAGAAGCCTGTCATTCAACTTAAATGGCATCCTTGCGAAAACCGGGTTCCTTCTGTCAGCGAGGTCGTAGAGCGGCCAAGTTGCAGTCACCAGCACTGATGCAAAGGCTGCGCTGCTGATCCCGACTGCATCAGCCAGGCTGAATGCCGACGGCGGTGCCTCCCAGACAACTCTCCGGTACCAAACGCATCCCAAGCAACATGAGCTGAAGCAATGGTAACTGTTCTCATATGTGCTCCACAAGAACAAGCCTCCATGCTAACTTTGCTTCCTCCCATCTGCCCATTTTCCTGAACGTTCAAAGCGGTCTTTGAGTCCAAGAACCGGAGCTGCTTGGCACATGCTTGGCTCGTGGCGGAGATGGGCGCAGAGCCACCGAAGGCAAAGCTCTCCTAGAACGCGATCTTCGAAAGACAAATCATATGGATAAGAAATGTAGTCACACTGTATGCGCACAGAACTTCCGCCCCCGATTTGAGTTGGGCACGACCAAGCCACCACCGAGCAGGAACTCCCGAGTATCCTTGCCGTCGTAGGAGACAACCTTGTCCTGTGGCAGAGATGGAACCCGCCCGAGCTTGTCTCGTGCCACTCTCGATCCATTTTTCAGCGGGGAGCTAGTAGCTGTCATAGTTGGACGTAGTAACTTCCACATGCGAGCAGCTTCATTTCTTGCGAGCTCCTGGGGATAGAATGGAGAGCCAGTGTAGTCTGGAGACATCTGCAGATTCCTTGCAGCAGTTGCTGGCGTCGTTTTTGCAGGCGGCCCGACGGATGCAATTCCCTTCAAGAGACCCTCAGCCGCCAACACGGCACTTCTCTCCGTGGCTTCCAAGCCAACCGGTGCGAGAATAGTCCCACCCATGATGTACCTCGTCAGGTGCTGCTCAGCTCGCTCAGCTCGCACACTCGGAAGCCTTAAGGCCGCAACGTCTTTGGGCGCAGCGGGTTCGGGATCTGACAGACAAACGCAGAGCAGACTCAAGTCACGGCTCGAGTAAGCTTGGCTCCCAACCAGAAACTGCTCCCGCTGTAGGCTTGGGTTTTCAGCGAGGATTCGCTGCAAGCTCGCCTCATCGGCGGCCATGAACTGGCTCCTGCGTGCGTTGATCACAAAGCTGCAGGAACCCCAGCCAGAGCTCGTGTCCGACCGACCTATTTGCCAGGCCGAAAGGCTCGAGGACGGTTTTGGCATAGACGTCAATCCACATATCGCGCGGATTCGATTTCCCATGTGCCTGGTGCGCAGGCGGGTTCCAACGAGCAGACACCAGCTCTGAAACAAGGGCAGCACCCATTTGCCCACGATAGTCCAGAAGATATTGATGCTGGTGGTAGCGACATCCTTACTTCTGCAAGCTGCAAATTAATCGCCTTCCGAACATGAACAAACACTACGCGATCGACTTTTCCATCCCAAGCTGCGCCGAGTCGTGGAGGTTCCCTTTCTAGGCGGTCCATGGTCAAGTCATTCGGAACCGTGTCCTCTCCAAGCAACTCCTGCACATCAGGTTCCCAGCTGGCTTGAGCCCTAAGCTCGTGCTGAAAGACGGGCGGATTTCTCAACAGCATGTGTCTAATCAGGTTTCATCCCCATCTTCCTTGACCGAGACATCCTTTGCGAACATGTAGATGGAAGACGCCCATGTTCCACCGGAGACACTGGAGATAGCATCAATGTGAGGAATGAGCTGCAAGCTCTCCAAAGCACGGAGCACTCCGAGGGTCACAGAGAGCGCGCGGGAGCCCCCTCCACTGAAGCAAATTCCAGTTCGCACTTGGGCCTGAGTCTGAGAGGTTTCGCAGAAGAGCTGTGCCTTAGGCCTAGAGTCTAGGGTCTAGGGCCTGCTCAAAATCAAAAGCATGAGCCAAGCTGGGAAGGTGCCTGGGAGTCTGGGAAGAAAGGCTGTCTGGAGTTCACAGCCGCTACGCGGGCTTTGATCGCTGGCTTGGGCCTCTTGCAAGTGCCATCGCCGGCGCTGCAATATCCTTCTTTGCAAACACATTCCTGGTTCACGCACTCCACTGGCCCACGATAGGAGGCGCATCCCCACAGTGTACAGCTTCCTCCTGTTTGCCTGCCGCACGTGTCCACAGCGTGAGCTGTACGCTCCTTGCAAACGCCGTCAACAGCACAGAACCCGGGCTTGCAGAGACATTGGTAGGCGGTACACATAGTGGGGCCGCGAGATGATGAGCAGCTCCAGAAGCGACAGCTTCCACCTCGGCTCACGGCAAAAACCACAAAAACACTACTAAAAACACTTGCTGTCACGAACTGTTACTGAAACATCTCAACATCCTCGGGCGAATCATGGAACCCTGTGTTGTGAGCCATAATTGCTGCAGGACACCAGTGTGGGAGTCGCAGTACTGCTTGTCCTCACTGAGGGCCACTGAGGCATTCTGACGAGTCTCCGAGCCCTCGTGCAGCTCCTACGAGTAGCATCGCATCGGGCCAGACAGCACTAGCACCAGCCCTGCCTGGAGACTCTTGCGACGAGCGCTGCGCTGCAACCACGAGGCTTCGCCCGCAGCACCGGGGCAGCTCTCCTTGTCGAACTCCTGATCGGCTCTTGTCCAAGGATTTGTGGCTCCCAGTAGTCTATTCGCCTATGATCAGAGGCAGAGATCTGAACTCTCGGTATCTCTCGGTAGTCCTCGCGCAGAGCTGCATCAACATCCGTCGCAGGCAAGGTCGTCTCCACGCTTGTGGCGGAGAACCATAGCAGCACCAGCGCACGCTGCATCTATCCCGATTGAAGAAGCAGGATCCAAACATCTGTTGACACTGTCTGCATACTTTTCCCGTGCTCTACGACCAGCCTAGCTTATACTGAATGTTGCCCATTCTGACATTGCTGCGAGGTATAGATGGCATTTCGACACTAGCGGAGGGGTCTGTAGCAGCAGTTTATGGTCACGTGATTCTGACCAGTCGGGCCGCGCGGCGCAAAGACCGTTTGTCGGTGCTCATGCCAAGCGAAAGACCCTCGGTTCGGGTTTAGGGTTTATCTGCTCTCCCAGACTCTGATCGGAGAGGCCCAAAGCCGCCAAACAAAGATTGCATATCGAATAACAGTACACACGCTCCAATTGCTAAACCCCACATGAAGCTCCAACAAGAAGGTGGGGACGCAACACTCCCTCTCTCTGCACACTTCTTGGCTAAACGGTGTGAGGATGCCTTGGTGCCATCACGTTCTGTGGCAGGTCCCGGATCGGTGCTGGCATCTTCTGCAAGCAGGCCAAGTCTTGAGAAAGCTTCCGCAGACCGTGCGCCACCTGGATGTTGAGTCGGACCCCATGCTTCTCGGCTGCCAGCTCTTCCGCGTTCTCTGGGTCACCAGGGACCAGCACGGGCAGTGCGGCATCAGCTGCAGAGAGGCCGCGCATCCGAGCCAAATAAGCACTGAGCTTCGCCTGAAACTCACCTTCTGGTAACATTTTTTCTGGGTCAATGCACATGAAGCAGTGTCCATAGTCCACAGGCCGGCCTCGATCCACTCTCCAGGGCGGAACGTCAGGACCGACATCTTTGCAGCCGCTCAAAACCGCACAAAGGATCTCAACCATCATGTTCAAGCCATAGCCTTTGTACCCAGCAGTTTCCTCAAGGCCCCCGACGGGAGTCAAGCCTCCACCAGCAAGCACCTCAGTCGGGTTGTTTGTTGGAGCCCCAGCTCTGTCCACGCCCCAGCCAGGTGGAATTTCCTGCTCCTTGCGATGGCAAACTTCAATTTTCCCCACTGGCACTGTTGAAGTTGCCATATCCAATTGAAAACTATCACGTGTGCCAGGACAGTAGCAGGAGATTGGATTTGTTCCCCCTGCACGTCGGCATGCGCGAGTTGGGACCAAGAAAGGACTCGTGTTCGTGAATGCGAAGCCAATCAGACCTTCTTTCAACGCAAGCTCGGACCAGAACCCTGCAATTCCAAAATGGTTGCTGTTGTGGCACACCACAAGGCCTATGCCTGAAGCCTTTGCTTTGCGTATGCAGAGTTGCATGGCAAATTCCGAGACAACAGCGCCCAAACCGTTCAGCCCATCTACATTGGCAGTGCTCACCGTCTCCGAAGAGAGGCGGGGCATCGCATCCGGGTCGATAAGTCCTGCGCTGAAACAGCACGTGGAAAAGAAAAAATCAGCAGTACGGCCCTTTACCGGCTAAGTCCTGCCCGCAGTTCTCCACAGTACATCTCTGTGCGGTTGACCCCATGAGATGGGATGCCACGACAATCTGCAGCCACCAGGACTCGGGCCACCAGGTTGGCTTTGGGCTTAGGGGCCCCGGCTGCCTCCAGGCAAGCAGCCACAGCTGCCTCCAGTTCCCCGCGCTCCACGCGAAGCTCCTCGCCCGAGTTCACAACATCCCGTGAGGACTGGCGGCTTCCCTTCGCGCGGCGGGAGCGTTCCAGGAAGATGCCCAGCGCAACCCCGGCCAATGCCGCTAGGGACGGAGTTACCAGGCTCAGCCATGGCGACGGCGCCATTCTGTGCTAGTGCTATCTGTCGATAGACCTCAAATTGTGGAATCTGTCATGCGTTAGGCATTGGCTATCGGTTTCTTGTCTTTTTGCAGGACAGCCGCTGAAGCTTTACCGATGAACCGCTGCTTCGCAAGGCCGACTACGCCACACCCTTCCGGAAAGCTGGTCCAGTCCCAAAGCTGGAAGTACACAAACACCTCCTTGGCTTGTGCGAGAGAGGCTCGACCGGAAGCCAGTTGCAAGGTTCCCGCGAAGTGCCTCAAAGTGGGATTTCGCAGTAGAGACTGGTGCACAAATCCTCAACTTCTTCAGGACCCTGCAAAAGCCCAGTTTCAGCTTCGTTGATGACATCTTGGGAATGTAGAACCCAACTTCACACCAGCGCTGAGCACGTCCCCTCATTGGAAGTATTTCTTCGATCACGATTTGGCCAGCAACGCCTCTGGCGTCGTCCTCTGATCTGTCAAAATAAAAAGGTTCAGACTGTGGCACTTGCTTAGCCGTGTCTTGCGGCTCGCGGCAAGCCCATGCGCTCATCGCTTTGCGAAGAGCCAAGGCCAATGCACCGGAAGCGGATCTCAAGCAAATGCCGCTTCGGCAGATCGAAGAGTCCAGGCTCCCTTCAAGTTCTCCACGTCGCGAGCTTCGCTTCCGCCATGAAAAATGTGCCGGACTAGCTTCCTTGGAGCGGCGATGACGCCCCAAGGCTATTAACAGGTCAGATGCTTTCAGACTCTGAATCAGGTCGTTATCTGCAGATCCCAAAGGATACCTGCTCCCGCAAACTTGGTTCGTGCAGACTGCGCGAAGTGCTGTGCATTGGGTATGCAAAGCAGTTCAAGCGTCTGTGCTGACGCGTCAGCTGACGCGCCAGCGCGACGGCAACTAGAGGAACAACAAATCCAGTGCCCTGTGCTCAACTGTACACTGTTGACTGACCCCTCGAGACGAGCTCAGCGTCAGTCCATGGCTGTGCGAAGACATGAAACTTGCCATGCTGCCATTCATTCGCTTGCAGTGCTTCTCCGACGTCCTTGTTTACAATTCTGCACATAGATCAAAACCTTTAGGTCTAGGTCAAGCTGGCAGGCTGTCACATTCCCCTGTGTCCTAGCTGCTTTCCATGTGGCTGCTCGGCAGACATGATCGCATTTCCCTGGGACAGGCAGACTTGTTTTGTGACTCGGATTCGCTCGGCATGCCAGGTACTGCAAAGGCAAGCGACACTGCGCCGGAAAAGCGAGAGCGGCGAGAAATCGGAAGAAGTGACCTCACAAGCTCAGCGTCACTAGACACACAGGTGTTTGGAGCAGTCCTGACCCATGCTACGCTCGAGCTGTCAATGCTACACTGGGGGTGAGGCCGATCGTGCAGCCAGCACCGCCCAAGCGACCAGAATGTAAAAGAAGGACCAACCCAGGAGCCAACCTCAGCCCAGGAGATAGTGAAAGAGGGCTCTCCCCCCCCCCAAATCTCAGGGCATCGCCCACTTCCTCGCCGATGGGGTTGTCCTTGATGCCCAGATCCGTCATCCAATCCTCTGCCGTCTTTCGGGTGCAGAGTGCAGAATGGAGTGCAGAAACCTGTCTTGCCTCGCCGGAGCGGCTGCCGAGTGTGGTGGACACACCCTCGGGATCGAACCTCAGAAAGCTGCATCACGGCCCAACGGCCCCTTCCCTAAAAGCCTTGGAGCACAAGTGGCCTCAAAATCTCTGAGGCCATGTCACGAAGTCTAGGCCTCGCAACTCGTTGGCAGCCAGCATGTTAAAGGATGCCCTGAAAATCGAGATGTTCCGAAGCACCTCGGCTGCACACAGCTAAATTCTTGCTCTATCTGTGGACTCTGGGGAGCCAGCATCGTCACCGGAGGCCAGCAGTGGTCCACCAAACTGGGGAGAGTAACGCTTTTGACAGTTCCTGTTTTCCTGCACAGTTACATCCAGCACTCGGTAATTTTTTAACCACAATCTAACATGCTTTCATCAGCCATCGTCCCTCTAAACACCCGGGCCCAACCCCCAAACTTCTAAGCGTGGCAGGCAAGCCAGCAAGAAAATCAGGATCAGCAGCACTGCCAGGGGAAGTACCTTTGCATGGTCAGCCCTTTCTCCATGCAGAGGCGCACCTCACAAAGCATGGCTGCCGCACCACTCCGGATCTCGGAGCAGTAGCTCCCAACGCAAGGCCTTTGCATCTTGCAGCTCCAGGATGCAACAGCTGAAGCTGCAGAAATTTACAAGACTTACTCAAGACTTCATCGAGCATTTACAAAGCAAGGGGATTTTGTGGCATTTCCCGATTGGCATAACCCTAAACTTCGCGACGCATCTTGGGAACACGCTTGAAGGAAGTGTTCAAGCATTTGGCAACGCTTGAGTCTTTTCCATCGTACCGCTTCCGTGTCCAAAAGGCACTTCTTCCCGTGGACATGAGTGAAGGCAGTGTCCTTTCTTTGCACTCATAGTCACAGCACTGACAAGTGCCGGAGTGGAATCTCGAGGACCTTGGACCAACCTGGGCAACCGAAGGCCCGCCGCTGCCTCGCTTCCCTCTCTTCTCTCGGCCTCTGAAAAAAATCGGCCGCAGGCAGCTGTCACAGCTGACGCAGACTGCAGATCTGTCATGTTGTGTGTGCATAGCTCGAGTCGTATGACCGCAGCAGAGGCTGACATTGAATGTGTGCATGGAGGATCCTACTGAAACACTCGCATCATTGTGTGATTCACAGTGATGAGTGCTGCCCTCCGTAACGGCATCAGCCATTGCGGATGCACCGACGTTTTCAAGATTTTGCCATGTGCACAAAGTCTGCAATGCCAACATGATGGTCCGAGCTCAGTGGCACACGACACAGATTTGACATAAATCAGAAACAACTGCGCTTGCATCATGGAAGTGCAGTGCCCTCTGCGGTCTAAGGCAGCAGGCAGAAAGTAGATGAGACCTGAACCATGAGAACGCACGGATCAGTGATGGAAACAAACAATTAAACAAAAGCCGATGCGCGAGCAAAGCAATGAGGCTCGGACGAAAGACGCCAGGCAAAAGCCTAAGCAGCAAACCGCCTGCGACGATGCGCAGAACTGCAGAGTCCTCCAACTCAAAGGGTTCACCGGGTTCCCCCATGCCTCTCTCCCCGGGTGCATGCCGGCCAGGAGGTAGACAAGCATGCCTTGGGAATAAGGGCATAATGCAATCAGTTCCGCATGTCTTTTCACTGAGCTTCCAAACACGTGAGGGCAGGAGGCCCCACCTTAAATTGTGGTCTCTGACGGAGCTCTCCCTCAAGGACAGAACCGGGACTGCAGCTCTGAGGAGGATGGCATCAACGACCACCTGACTGCAGTGGGCCAAAGCCCCAATCCCAAGCAACTTGATACACGCTTCTCGAAAGCTGGAGTCGTGCAGCATCACCAAGAGAGTGACATGCTCACAGAAATGCCTTGGCTATGACGAAGCTGCCCGTGTAGTAGTATCCTCCGCACAATGGATCCTGGTGATCCTTACGAACTGACAGAAGCTGACAAGGTAGTGTGCGCAGCCTGCCGCGCGCTCCCGTCTGTAGCTGGTGTAACCATCTCGCCAAGCCAGGAGACCTTGAAGGGCCTCCGCGAAAAAGAGCACAGGAGCTGATGGATGCAGCTGGAGACTCTTGGGCCTGCATTCCCAAGGTGCAGTGCACGGCGAAGATGAGGCCAAGCCGACTGGCAACACAGAGCAGTGTAGGAAAGCCGGGGCTTAGAGATCAGTGCTTGAGGAAAGGGAAACAGAGCGAGCGGGACAGACAGACAGTGGACACAAGAACATGGGGCCACATTATGTATCGATCGTAGCTTGGACTGGAAGGAAATAAAGCACGCTCTTTATCCTGTTCTCGTCGTCAGGAGCAGCCTCCTGAGCTGAGACAGATCAGGAAAACGATCCCACGTCGCCCTCGCTTATGTCCCGTAACTTGTTGCAGCTCGTTGGCACAGGATGCTAGCATGGATTTTGCGGACAGGGACAGTCTTTCAAGCCTTCAGCCTCCTGCTGTAGCAACTGTGCGACCCCCGCATGTTGGATGACATGGATGCTGCAGGGGCGAATGGCTTGGTGTGGCTGAATGCGGCGGATGTGTTCACAGTTGGCCTGGAGGAATGGGACGTGACGGAGAGATGGTGGGAAACCCTGCAAAGTGTCAGAATCACGAAACAACTGCCAGCCGTCGAGATCTATGGAGGAGAGAGAACATGTTTCGAGTATCAAAACACACGGCCACAAAGACATGACTTGGTGTCTTTGCTTTGGCCTGCCTTTAGGAGGTTTAACACGACCTCATCCTCCACCGGAGAGGTCGGACAGGGGAACTTAGTCTACGACAAGCCTACCAGGCCAGGCGGTGAACCTGATTACTCCGGCCAGGCGGTAGGACATCTGGTAGTAGGTCGCGCCGAGTAACCTCTTCTTCGCTTCCGGCAAATGCAGCAACGCATTTTAGCTGGTAGTCTCTCGAGGTCGTGCCAAGCAACACGCCGGCTATAGTTGCCTGACGGAGCTTGTGAGCGACGAAAAGAAAGAGAGGGACAGAGAGGGAGAGAGAGACACAGAGTGAGAGCACCGAGCAAGGCTACACGGCTACGTTGTGCACCTCGAAGTAGGTGTAGGCAGCTAAGCTCCTAGAAGCCAGTGGCACATTGAACATCCCCTCGCAAAGAAGAGTCGCAACGTCGGGGTCCTGCTGATCTGAAGTTCTCGCAGCAGCAGCTGTCTCCTGACTGCTTTCTTCAGCAGACACTATGACACTATGACTTTAAAAGAACAAGACCTTCGGTCTGGAGTGACGATTTCGAAGTTCCGCTAGTGTTTCGCCACTTCTGGGGGCGCAGCAGTTGCGCCCAAACCGGAGGCATTGCCGCCGACTTGACCTGAAATCTGCAAGGAAGATACAGAGGATAGGAGTCTTTAAGTTACGACTCCGGCTCTCTTCTGCACTGAAGCACACTGCCCCCGCTTTTGCTTAGCCT